CAGGCGCCCTTCAGCTAAAGATTCATCAGTTTTCAGGGTGGATGAGAAGGAACTCAGCAAGTCCTCTGCTACATGCAGTGACTTCCGGTTTAGCATTATGAACGCCCTTCCCCTGCTCCTAGCTGCTATCATTCCCTCCTCCAGTCAACAGAAGACAGTGGGATACCCCTGCCCTCCACACCAATTCTTCCAGGGCGAGTGAGGAAGCTGAGCCAAGCTGTGCACCTGCATTTAAAGACAGCCGGTTTCCCTTAGGAGAGTGCCAAGCTCAGAGGGCCCACCCACTCAGGGAAGCCACTGTCCCCATGGCTGCCTGGTTGACAAGCAGTTGACACTTTACTGAGGGCTTTTTTCTGGTATCTAGATGATGGTTATTTCCAAAATATGAGAATGGAAACAATCAGGTCAGGGCTCTGTTACCATGAGATTAAAACACATCAACCTCCCATTGAAAGACCTGGAAGTGTTTTCTTAGGAGAAGAGACATTTTACTTTAAGACTTTCATTAACGGAAGCGCTATCGGGAAAATTGGTTATTTCAAAGATAGACTACTTCGAGTCTCAGCTTATGTCATATTCCACAGTAAATCCTAAACGAATTCAATGAGAAAAATGTTAACTCTAAAAAACTGTAAGAATGCTCAGACAAGTATTAAACAGATACTCAGCAATGAAGTCCCCTGTTATTAGTAAAAATGACCTTTCCTAGGTGCAAAACCATGGAAGAAACCATCAAAGAAATGACCCATCGATGCAGCTGTGTAAAGTAACAGCTCTAACTCCACATAAAGACTGGTTAATATTGTGGGCAACAAAGGGGCAGTGGCAGGGCAATTTCTCTGAGAACCAAGAGACTGAGAGCCTAACTTTGGGCCAGCGAGATGGTTAAAGGGGCCTGCTGCCAAGTCAGAGGGCGCGAGTTCAGGCCTGGGGCCCAGGTGGTGGAGAGGCAGACTGCACAATCGTCCTCTGACCCCCACATGTGTGCCACAGCATGCTCACACATAATCAAGCACGTGCAAAAGTGTTTGCAGGCACACACTCAACTCATGTCACTACTACCTATGTAAGCGAGCTGGATATTTTTATATTTCCTCTGGGATGCAATATAGAAGCCAGCATGCAGGAGCAGGAGGAAGGTCCAAGAGAGAAGCTCAAGAGCGTGCTCACAGAGAGTACACACCCAAAGCTGGAGGACAGGGGAGAATCGCCCCCTGATCAGCAGAGGAAGAGGGAAGATGATTTCCCAGGTCCCAAATGCACACGGGAACAGTCACGGGGATCTGGAGTAGGGGAAGAAATGTGCGCAACATGTTGCTAGCTTCCTGGGTGACTACATTTTTTGTTTGACTCTTGCCCACTGCGCCTTCTGCTACATTCTCCGCTCTTTTCAGTGCCGAGGAGAGAATCGAGGGCCGGTCCCACACCAGGGAAGCACTGTGCTGGGAGCCACAAGCCCAGCCCTCCCTCTGATTATCTGAATGCATCACAGGCTTGTGAGTGACCTGCTCCTGCCAGGTCAGTCCCATTGAGTTTCCTGACTTAAAGGAACCTGGGGCTGGGGAGCAGGCACCCCATTTACAGGCAAACTGATTCACCCGCCTACTATGGCAGCTGGTTCCTGGCCTGGTACAGGACGGGCCTGGCCAGGGTGTAACCCTTCGCTGTCCTTTGTTGTCAAAGACGATGTAGAAAATGGTGGCACGCTGGTGCAGAAAGACAGACGCCAGGGCTCCAAGACGTGAGGACAGACAGGCTGGGGTCCCTAAGGCAGTCTACTATCCCAAGATTTTGAACTCGGTGGCATTTTTAGAGGCAGACTGGATGGGAGTAGAGTGGACACAAAGTGTTTAAAACAAAATCCATGTGCCCAAAAGTTGCTGACTACTCTGATCTGTGGGACAGGTGCACAGAAGTACCATCCACGCCCCACCCCACCCCCTTACCCCCACCCTGCCCGAAACAAAGACCTGTTATATTTCAGGGAGATTCTAAATTCGCTGTTTCTCCAAATTTTGATTTCAACTTGTTTCAAGATCAAATCTGATGTAAGCAAATTTTTTAAAAGGACAAAAAAAGAAGCGTGTGAAAAGAGTTTGGTGTGTGTACGTGTGTATGCGAGTGAGTGTGTGTGTGAATGTGAGTGTGTGTATATGTGAGTGTGTGAGTGTGTATGTGTGTGTGTTAATGTGAATGTGTGTGTATGTGAGTGTGTGTATATATGAGTGTGTGTGTATCATGCCTGCACATGTGTGTATATGTGAGTGTCTGTGTGTGTGTGTGTGTATCATGCCTGCACATGTGTGTATATGGGGAAGCATGTCATGCATCAGGTCTTCCTTCACAGCCTCCCACCTTATTTTTTGAAGCAGAGTCTCTCATTAAACCTGCAGGACACCATTTTTGAGGTTCACCTCTTGGCTCAGGTGGCCAGCCAGCAGGTTCCCAGGATCCTATCGTCTGTGGGTGTGGGGATTTGGACTCAGGTCTTCTTGCAGTCACAGCAAGTGCTCTTAGCCCCTGAGCTGCCTCTCTATCACAGGCTATCGCTATCCACCTAGTTAGTTGGCTTCTTAAGGAAAGGAAATAATAGGGAAGTTTTACAACATAAAAATTAGGCATTACTTGGCTAGCAGTAAAATAGAAAGTGCTCAGGACCCTCTAAGGATGGAACCCAAGACACAGCTGTAGGTCACGATGTCAGGGAAAACGAATTGCCCAAGGACACAGTGGCTACTTGAACTTTAGACATACGGGTTTGTTGATGTGTAGTTTCCTCTCTGTGGGCCAATTACAAGTACACTCCATGGCATCCAAGCTTGCCCGGAGCTGGGATGTGGCAGTGTGGGGAGCAGGGAGCGCCACCACCCCCACCGTGACATGGCCCATCTGTGCTCTGCTCCTACTTCTTAGAAACTTTACATATGTGCTCAGATTTTCCCTCCAGCTTCTTTAAACTTAACCTGCCATCTGCCAATGATGCTGTGACATGACTCTTTCCTGTGGCTGGGCACTACAAGGGCGCTGTTCAATAGTCAGGCCGGGTCCTCACAGTCCACTCACCTTGGTCCTCTTGGATCAAGAGTTTGAAAGGTAGTGGTGGCTTTGTTTATACCTCTCAACTGGCTGCTTTCTTGGTCTTACTGGAAGCTTAAATCTAGGCATTGATGTCAATTCTACTCACTGTTTTCTGGGAAATAAAACCCTGATGTTCACTTCCCCAGGGCTTATGACAGCATGTCTGGACTCTCTTTGTATTAATCACAAATACCTAGCCATTTGGATAGGTCAAGTGTAGTCCTCATCCCTTGACTGCTCTGAGAAGGGGGTGAACTGGATCTGATGGGGATAGTTGGGACAGGCTGGGCCACTGCTATATTCCCTGTTATAAAGACACATTTGCACACCATATCGTAGGAAAGAATCTGGTATATACATGTTATTGGTGGCCTAGCATGCATACATTGTTTATAATGAAATACTTACCAAAGCTCTGAAACCATTTTTGATGTAGAAATATTGATGTATTGTTACATTCTTACATTCAGTAACAAGATCTGACATGGAATGTAATCACTACTACAATGTTCAAGGCCAGAGAAGCATCAGAGATACTCTACGAAGACTGCCTTATGGTGAGAACTATTTCACTAGGCAGGAGCTGTCAACTCCACACCGTTGTTTGCCTCCACCGTTGGAGGCCGTGCTGAATTTCAGCCAAGTCAGTTTCCTCATCTATCATAGCTTCATTTCTGTTGCTGTGATAAAAATGTCCTGACAGAAAGCAACTTAGGAGAGAAAGAGCTTATTTCAGCTTGCAATTCCAGATCACAGTTCATCATGGAAGGAAGTCACTGTGGCAAGAACTTAAAATACCAGCCACATCACATCCACAGTCAAGAGCAGAGAGAGACAAAAGCAAATACACTTACTCCCTAGCTCATTTTCTTACACAGCCCAGGACCTAAACCTAGAGAATGGTGCCACCCACGGTGGACTAGGTCTTCCCATACCCATTAATGTGATCAAGAGAAGCCCCACCCCAGACACATCCACAGACCAACTTGTTCTAGACACTTCCTCACTGAGACTCTGTTTTGAGTTGTTATTAGATTGTGTCAACCTGAAAATAAGAAGCAACCATCACACCATCCAAGCTCCTGGGCTCCAGATGAACTCAGGGACTCCGAGCAGGTGTGACTTAGGGCCTGGCTACCACAGCTCTGTCCTACACACAAATGGGAACTGTTTCCTTGACTTAGACGGGTAGAGGCCACCCTGAATTTCTATGCTCTGCAGAATAAGCCAGAGGAGGCATTCAAAGTGGCTTCTGAGAGGGAGGTGGGGCCAACAGGCATCGGTTGCTTTCTGCAACACAGGCAGCAGGGTCCCCTCTGTGAAGCCGCTCTGTCAGGGAGATGGGTCTTGGTTGTGTCTTGAAGTCAAGGGTAAGAGACATTTTCCTTCTGCTTTGACAAAGACTTGAGACACATGTGTTTTCAAATTTGTCAGTTGCTTTTCGAGGCAAGCTCACCTAAGTGGGGGTTTGGCAGCTGGGAGAGGTGCATTTTTTGGTGTCCCATCTTCGGGTTTATAGATGGGGCTTTTGAAAGTGCAAGTGTCCCAAAATGGCCAGCACCAGGTTTGGGTGGTGTGACTCTGCTTCACAACCCTGGGAACATGAAAAAGCACCAGGTTTGGTGGTGTGACTCTGCTTCACAACCCTGAGACATGAAACAGCGCTGCTGCAATCACATGACCATGACAGGTGGTGTTTCTTCTGAAACACACACGGAGAAAGAACTAAGACTTTGTCACTGGGTAAGCCACCAGTGAGATACCCGGCACCAGCTCAGGACTGACATACACAAAAGTGCCTTTTTTAGTGAGGTATGTGCCTGGATGCCTGGGCAGGCATGTAAGCTAGACTTTGTGGTACACCGCCACCCAAAGTCCACTGGAAAACGGTGAAAGAAGCTTCCAGAATGTCATCTGCTTACCAATTTTACTTCTTGTTTCATTTATACTTTCTCCCAGAGCCTTTGCTTCAGAAAATCTGTAGGAGAAAAAGAAATAAAGACAATTTATAGTTTTTGCTAGTCATCCTATGTTGTTTGGAAAAATAAGAGATAAGAGGCTTCAAGAATGTGGTGAGGACAAAAGAAAACTGAAATAATCTTGTAAGAAATGAAATTTGTACGATTACACCTACTGTGAAATATCAGTCCACCTCACATAAAGTTTCCAGTTAGAGCAATGGCTGGGTGGTTAAGAGCACTGCCTGCACTCCCAGAGGACCTGAGTTCAGTCCCCAGCACCCACACAGAGGTTCACAGCCGTCTGTAACTCCAGTTCTAGGGGTCCAGTGCCCCTCTGGCTCCTAGGGGCACGGCACACATGTGCTGCACATACTACATGCAGGCAAAACACCCATACATATAAAACAGTAATTAAAAAATTGTTCATACATTTGCTAATTAATAAATTCGATGATGCTTTATGGTGCAAGGATACAGGAGGAAGCATGGAGGTAAGGCTTCTCCACTGTGATCTATGTACAGAAGGAAGCATGGAGGTAAGCCTTCTCTGCCATGATCTATCACCACGTGCCAGCCTCATAGTCAAAGAAAACATTCTGAAATAACATGGACTTCTGGACATTCAGTAGTATAGCAGAAATCAGCACTGATGACCAGTCACGAAACAAATCCGGGCTACTTCCCGGTTCCGTGAGTAAAGTTTACTGGAATGCATTCACCCATTCACCAGGTTCCGTGAGTAAAGTTTATTGGAATGCATTCACCCATTCACCAGGTTCCGTGAGTAAAGTTTATTGGAATGCATTCACCCATTCACCAGGTTCCGTGAGTAAAGTTTACTGGAATGCATTCACCCATTCACCAGGTTCCGTGAGTAAAGTTTACTGGAATGCATTCACCCATTCACCATCACTTCATCTACAGAGGCTTGTAAGCTACCGCAGCTGAGCGGAAAGGATGTGACAGGGACTGTGTGGCTTGTGGAGCAAAGCATTTTACTATTTGACCCTTTATACAAACGTTTGTTGCATCCTGTTGCAGATGACTATTAAACCAGATTTTGAAAATACACTTTAAGAGAAAAAGACACAATAACCCTCCCAAACAGAAATAAATATATCCTGATATGCAGATCTGTCTAGTCTTTTCTGCAGTTCATTTTACAGGTGAGGTCATAATGTATGCATAAGTACATATATACATATATGATAATATAAATAATATATAGAATTTTATACCCTGGTATTTTTTCACTTAGCATTATAAGTTCCTCCCTACATCTTTAGAACTCTTATATTTGGTGAGTAAATGCTAGTCCATGAGATGGCTGTGCTGGCACTCAGTGTGCCCTCTACATCTCCTAACTGATCTTTATGTAGCATGTGAGGCGTGGTGTGTGTGAGGCATGGTGTGTGTGTGAGGCGTGGTGTGTGTGTGAGGTGTGGTGTGTGTGTGTGGTGTGTGTGTGTGAGGCATGGTGTGTGTGTGAGGCATGGTGTGTGTGTGAGGCATGGTGTGTGTGTGTGAGGCGTGGTGTGTGTGTGAGGCATGGTGTGTGTGTGTGAGGCGTGGTGTGTGTGTGAGGCATGGTGTGTGTGTGAGGCGTGGTGAGTGTGAGGCATGGTGTGTGTGAGGCATGGTGTGTGTAGGCGTGGTGTGTGAGGCGTGGTGTGTGTGTGAGGCGTGGTGTGTGTGAGGCATGGTGTGTGTGTGTGAGGCGTGGTGTGTGTGAGGCGTGGTGTGTGTGTGAGACGTGGTGTGTGTGTGAGGCATGGTGTGTGTGAGGCGTGGTGTGTGTGAGGCGTGGTGTGTGTGTGTGAGGCGTGGTGTGTGTGTGGTGTATGTGTGTGTGAGGCGTGGTGTGTGTGTGTGAGGCGTGGTGTGTGTGTGTGTGTGTGTGTGAGGCGTGGTGTGTGTGAGGCGTGGTGTGAGGCGTGGTGTGTGTGTGAGGCATGGTGTGTGTGTGAGGCGTGGTGTGTGTGAGGCATGGTGTGTGTGTGAGGCATGGTGTGTGTGAGGCGTGGTGTGTGTGTGAGGCATGGTGTGTGTGAGGCGTGGTGTGTGTGTGAGGCGTGGTGTGTGAGGCGTGGTGTGTATGTGAGGCGTGGTGTGTGTGTGAGGTGTGGTGTGTGTGAGGTGTGTGTGTGAGGCGTGGTGTGTGAGGCGTGGTGTGTGTGTGAGGCGTGGTGTGTGTGAGGCGTGGTGTGTGTGTGAGGCGTGGTGTGTGTGTGAGGCATGGTGTGTGTGTGAGGCGTGGTGTGTGTGTGAGGCATGGTGTGTGTGAGGCGTGGTGTGTGTGAGGCGTGGTGTGTGTGAGGCGTGGTGTGTGTGTGAGGCGTGGTGTGTGTGTGAGGCGTGGTGTGTGAGTGTGTGTGTGTGAGGCGTGGTGTGTGTGAGGTGTGTGTGTGTGTGAGGTGTGGTGTGTGGCGTGGTCTGTGTGTGAGCGTGTGTGTGTGTGTGAGGCGTGTGTGTGAGGTGTGGTGCGTGTGAAGCATGGTGTGTGTGAGCGTGGTGTGTGTGTGAGGCGTGGTGTGTGTGAGGCGTGGTGTGTGTGTGAGGTGTGGTGTGTGAGCGTTGTGTGTGTGGCGTGGTGTGTGTGTGAGCGTGGTGTGTGTGAGGCGTGGTGTGTGTGTGAGGCATGTGTGTGTGTGAGGCGTGGTGTGTGTGTGAGCGTGGTGTGTGAGCGTGGTGTGTGAGGTGTGTGTGTGTGTGAGGCATGGTGTGTGGCGTGGTGTGTGTGTGAGGCGTGGTGTGTGTGTGAGGCGTGGTGTGTGTGTGAGTCGTGGTGTGTGTGTGAGTCGTGGTGTGTGTGTGAGGCGTGGTGTGTGTGTGTGTGAGGTGTGGTGTGTGGCGTTGTGTGTGTGGCGTGGGGTGTGTGAGGCGTGGTGTGTGAGGCATGGTGTGTAGGCGTGGTGTGTGTGTGAGCGTGGTGTGTGTGAGGCGTGGTGTGTGTGTGAGGCGTGGTCTGTGTGTGTGAGGTGTGGTGTGTGAGGCGTTGTGTGTGTGAGGCATGGTGTGTAGGCGTGGTGTGTGTGTGAGGCATGGTGTGTGAGCGTGGTGTGTGTGTGAGGCATGGTGTGTGTGTGAGGCGTGGTCTGTGTGTGTGAGGTGTGGTGTGTGTGTGAGGCGTGGTGTGTGTGTGAGGCGTGGTGTGTGAGGTGTGGTGTGTGTGAGGCATGGTCTGTGTGTGTGAGGTGTGGTGTGTAAGGTGTGGTGTGTGTGTGAGGCGTGGTGTGTGTGTGAGGCGTGGTGTGTGAGGCGTGGTGTGTGTGTGTGAGGTGTGGTGTGTGAGGCGTGGTGTGTGAGGCGTGGTGTGTGTGTGAGGCATGGTGTGTGTGTGAGGCGTGGTGTGTGTGTGAAGCGTGGTGTGTGTGTGAGGCGTGGTGTGTGTGCGTGAGGTGTGGTGCGTGTGAAGCATGGTGTGTGTGAGGCGTGGTGTGTGTGTGAGGCGTGGTGTGTGTGAGGCGTGGTGTGTGTGTGTGTGAGTGTGTGTGTGTGTGAGGCGTGGTGTGTGAGGTGTGGTGTGTGTGTGAGGTGTGTGTGTGTGTGAGGCGTGGTGTGTGTGTGAGGTGTGGTGTGTGTGTGTGAGGCGTGGTGTGTGAGGTGTGGTGTGTGTGTGGTGTGGTGTGTGTGTGAGGCGTGGTGTGTGTGTGAGGTGTGGTGTGTGAGGCGTGTGTGTGTGTGAGGTGTGGTGTGTGAGGCGTGGTGTGCGAGTGTGGTGTGAGTGTGTGAGGCGTGGTGTGTGTGTGAGGCGTGGTGTGTGAGGCGTGGTGTGCAGGTGTGGTGTGAGTGTGTGAGGCGTGGTGTGTGTGTGAGGCGTGGTGTGTGAGGCGTGGTGTGCGAGGTGTGGTGTGAGTGTGTGAGGCGTGGTGTGTGTGTGAGGCGTGGTGTGTGTGTGAGGCGTGGTGTGTGTGTGAGGGATGGTGCCACACACAGTTGGAGGGTTTCTTCCGTCCTCCGTTAAACCTTTCTGGAAACAGCCTCAACAGACAAACTTGGAGGCGTGTCTCCTAAGGGATTCCAAGTTCAGCCACAATGACAACAAAGGTGAGCTCCACGTCTTTATAAAATATCAGTTGATCTCTCATTCCCTTCTGTCATGAAATTGAAGGGGTGGCAAAACCCTACCAAAAAAAACAAAAACCCTACACAATACATAGACATAGTACATGTACTATCTTGATAACGATGACCACAGTGTTTGAGTTTGTCTAGGAAGGGGTCTATCTATGTGTAGTGAGTAGCCAGAACACTTTCCTGTATAAGTTGGGAATGACCTGATGTTGAGGATACACAGAATTTTAGAAAACTCTTTATTCTAGAAGTTTCCAAACACATGTTAACACAGAGCATGTTAGGCTAAGTCCTCCCACCTCACAGATCCCGTTTTCTACTGTCCATCTTAATTCAACGATCTCTTCTCTCCCCATCCCCGTCCAACCTCCCCAAATCTATAGCGTTCAGAGAAGCTCAGCTACCCTATTGTGAGGGGAGCAAGGGCTGGGTGGAAAGTGGGGACGGCTCTGCATGTGTCTGTGACGCCTGGACGACAGACAGGGAGTTCCTACAAGGCTGGGTGGCTAAGGTCTCCACCCCGGCTCCCGAATGAAGCTTCCTCATAGTCAGGGTGTCTTTATGTCTTCTCAGTGAGGGCCTGTCGCCTTGCAGGGGTCAGTGCCGGTGCACCTGGAAAAACGCAGGCTTGATCAGATCAGCAGACACCCATGGCGTGTGTGGACACAGGATCTTCACCACCACAGGACAGGAGCCTTGTGGGGTGTGCTGAGCTAGGCGCTGGGGTTGCACCACAGACAGCAGAGGCTGACAGACCAGCGTAATGGAAGAGGTCCCTGCTGATGGGTGTTGGGGCTTCAGGGCTGCCGTCGACTTTCTCATCATCAGACGTGGATAACTGAAGCAGAGTCCGATGTGACTTCTGAGAAATTCTTGAGATAATCCTCCCTTGCCCTTCGGATGTCTAAAGACAGGGTTCACTCAGGGTGACACGGCTAAGGAG